ATTACTTGTTCTTCTGTGTGGTGTTGATGTATCATTATTTTCTATTTATTCATTGGCTTTCTTGAAATATTCATCTCTGTTGTTTTTATATTCCCATAATATTCATCTATGTACGATGACGCTGGGCAAAATGTGCCTACGTAAGTTTGAACAATTTTCGTGAAAACCGTGATTAGTCTAAATGGCGGGGGAGAGGGGGGAACAACCCCTTGGACCGAAAAAGAACTTCTGGGGGAGGCGTCGAAATCCCTCCGGAAATTCCTTCGTTCCTGAGCGGTGAAAGAGTCCGCTCCAGGGTTGGGCGTTGGTTATTTATAAGCCGCTGCATCGTGTTGTTTCGGATTTTCTCCATCCGTCGGGTCTCTCTGCCCCTTCGCGATGCGAGGGCGGGCGCGAGAGCCTGGCGTGGCGTCGCCCGCAGCCTCCGCGCCGCGAGCCGCGAGGAAGGGGGGCCTCGGCCGCCGGAAAACCGCGCCAGCGGAAGCTCTGACGCTGTACGGCGCTTTTTGTCGCTCTTGTTTTTTGACGTGTGCGCGGAACATGGCGGACAACCAAATGGTTGAATACGGACATGAAACGTCCTTTTGTTGTTTGAGAGAATGCGTGTTTCAGTTGTCGGACGTACTGTTGTTTCGATTCGCCAAGTGTTCGACGTGTCCGTGATGGTTTCTGTGCTAAGAGTCGGCTACTTCAGTAAGTACAAGTTATCGGTTGTGGTTTTAAGCTGTTTCCTCACGTCAAACTTAATAGAATGTAATTTTCGTGGAGGTGGAAGACTGAAATTGGAATTTCTCTGTAAAGTCAGTGGGCGAGTATGGGACTAATTAGCGAGTAGTGTCCAGTCGGAAGGGTTTCTATGTAGTAATGATAAGAATTTGTCAATAAGTGGTGGCTTCCATTTGACTCCGGACTAAGTTTCCTACATCTCGTGAATCATTTTTCATATTTTCCCCAATATCATTAACAAGACGGACGATTTCATGGAAAACTCCGATGGACGGTGGAACTCGTGATTACGTACTAACTAGCGCCTGACAGGGAATCTGTGAAGAAATGTAGAGGGAACCACGTAAAAATTATTGAATCTCTACTAATTAGGGTTGTGCTTTATTTTCAACTAAGTAAAGTCTTTGGTATATGAACAAATTGTCTTAAATTTGAGAACGAGGAATGGTTTTCACTCGATGCAGAACTTCCGAAAGAACGTTCATTCGCGTTGCTGGGGCCCTCCGCGTTCGGCGAGAGCAACTTGTTTGCACGTGGCGGATCGCGTGCTTCCGCCGCCCCTCCCTGTGCTTTCCCTTCCCCTTTCTCTCCCGCCCCCCTCCACCATCCTCACCGCGCTCCTCAGGCTGATTATTCCGTGTTTCCGGACTCAACTGCTTAGGTCATTAGCCCCGTAAGTATAGTGAAAGTTTCATCGGCATCGGTGATCTTCCTACGTTGGATGATGAGATCCGGCACCGATTCACACGTCGGCTAGCGAAGTTTTCCCTAACCAGATATCTCCCACCAGCGGGGCTTCGCCCCGCCCGGGACAAGCTCTAAGCACCCGACTGGTCTCCCGGCATGTGTGGTAGTGTAGTGTATGTTCGTGTGTGTGTGTAAGGAGTGAGGATAGGTCAAGGAAGAGGAAAGAAAGATCTCACGCAGTCTGTGACCCGTTTGTTAAGGTACTGGTGTGGCATTCGCCTGGTGTTGATCGCAGAAATCACGGAAAACTGCCGATAAGAACAGCCGGCTGCTAGAAATCTCTTCCAGGCAGCGGCTGAATGCGACCTAGCTATGTATGTAGTGTCGAAAATCGTGCCACCGTCCGAACTCGAACTCTAGGACCTCCCGGCCAGAGGGCCTGCGGCTACATCAGTTGACGCTCTGAGCCAAGCCGGCACCCCTCCGCCTCCATACCGTTCCCACCCCCGCAAGGTGGCCCTGGCGCTGGCGGAATGCGCGTCCGCGCTTCGTGGGGCGGGGATCGATGCTCGCCTGCCTCCTTTGCAGCGGATTCTCCGCCGCCTTATTGATCGGGCGCCGATGCAGACACGTGTTCTGTCGCGCGACGCGACACGCCGCGTGCTGCGCCTCGCTCCGCCGCCGCCGCCGCCGTCCGAAACACGTGCGGGACCCAGTTGCGTCAAGGGTCAGGGTCCTGGGGTGGGAAAGAAACGTGAAAATTGGTATTGAAAAGAAAATCAAATAACAAAATGAAATGTCAGGGCGGATGCTCGAATTACGGAGATAATATAATATCTCGAAAAACAATGTAGGTTTGAAAGTACTTTCTTACAATCAGATGTAACCGGAGTGTCGTAATTCTGTTTTCTTTTTCATTCTTTCCTTTTTCTGAATGTCGCTCTTTTATTGTTTCTCTGTTCATTCTTCTTTTATTGAGGCGTCTCGTTACTTATTGTAACCAACGAGCGAATTGTCTTGCGCACGTGCTTCGCAGAGGAGTCGCGGGGCCCCTTCCCGACGGAAGTCGTAGATTCCGTGTTGGGCGGCGAAAGCCGGTGTCTCTCCGTGCGATTCGGTGAGTGTCGAGTCGCACGCAGCCGCAGGGGTGATGAGCGTCGGCACGGAAGCGCCAGAATGCACGGCGGACGCATTCGCGCGTTTCGGCTTTCGAATCGCGCTTATCGAGTGAAGAGGCGAGCCGTCTCCTCCGAGCTTAGAAATAAAAGGGGTAACCTTGTGCGTAATTCTATAGGTGAAGTGTCTTGTCTGTGTTCTTACGTGTGAACGTTTTTTAATGTTGAGGTTTTGTAGTCTTATCTCAAAGCCATCAAAGCGAAATATTTGTATGGGCTCGTAGTTATGTAGTGAAAGAATGCGCGTATCTCCCATTTTCAGGGAAAATGAATGTAAGTATTTGAAAAACTGTACAGAACAAAATAAGTTTCATCGCTTGGGTATATCAATTCGAAACCTAAAACGAAAGTTACATTAGTACAAGAACTTGCAAAATGTATTTCTTACGGCAGCGTATTTTTTAAAACATTTATTTTGAACTTTTTTCAACTTCAGAGTTGGACTCTTCCATTTCCTAAGAAGAGTTCCTTGACCCATGCACTGACGTAACATGCGAGGTCAGTCCCTAGACGACACTCTGCACGTAAGACAGGACACGAACATCGGTTCCGACCATCAGGCGCCGGCACCGAACAGAGGCGCTGGGCCAGACCCAAGTCCGTCCGTCACGACCACCCGGGCACGCGGATTAGCCCCTCAGCCAGGCCACGCCCGCGGCAGCGCCCAGGCGAATGCCGAAATCCAACACTTGTGGCTGAAGAAAGGTTAGATAGAATCGACGGAAACAAGTCAACATCTCGTGTAGTTCGGAGAAGAATCCCTCCTTCATGACTGCTGTTCCATGAAGTCTCGTCTCAAAACTTTTGGGTTCCTTTATGGATCCGGTAAAAAATGTCATTATGGTGGTCATTTATAATTTGGTGAACCTGAGCACTTAAACTCCAAGACTACAATTTGAAATTCGCGGTGCTTTCGAATTGCAAGTATTTCTCGTGAAGAGTAGGAGTGTTTTCATCTACGAATGAGATCATATGAAGCGTTAAAGCCATTTACAAGTGAGCCAACTGCAAGCGAAGGAATGGAGGAAGGAGCCAATTGACATCTTTGACAAGCGCTTTCATTGATTGATTGGTTAGTGATTTCGGGCGCGTTCATTAGTCTCGTACGTGTAGTGCATGATTTACCTCGAGGTGTCGGTTATCTTACTGAGCTGCCTGGCGAAATCTGTGGCTACCTACGTCGGCGTATGGAAACTTTCCCCAACCAGGTATCTTCCACCCACCTGCCACCGCGCCGTCCGGGACAAGCTCTAAGCTCTCGACCGGTCTCCCGGCATGTGCGGTAGTGTAGTGCACGATAGTGTACGTGTGTGTAAATACGGGGTGATGATAGGAGAGGACAGAGGAAGGAAAGATCGCGCGCAGTCCGTGGCCAATTTGTTAGGGACTGCTCTGGCATTGAATTTAATTGAATTTGCCTTATTTTACGTGGCATTCGCCTGGAATTGATCGGAGAAATCACCGAAACTACTGATCTGAATAGCCGACCGCTAGAATTATCCAGTCACCGGCTGCATTCGACCTAGCTGACAGTGTAGTGTCGAAAATCCTGTCTGTAACCCTACGACCTCCCGGTCAGAGGCTCTGAGCCTCCCAAGCCGGTAGAGCTTTCCTGCCTAAGGCGACGTGACTTCCTTATAGCGCCGGCGCCGCAGCGGGACGCCGCAGTCGTCGCCCTCTCCTTCGCGCGCCGCACCGACGGAGGCGGCGGCGGCAGCAGCAGCAGCAACAACAACAGCGGCGGCGCGAGCCATGGAGGAGCCCGTGTTCGGCCTGAAGCGGCTGGCGGCGTGCGGCCGCGCTAGCGCCCCGTCGGCCGGCGGCGGCGGCGGCAGGTGCAGCAGCTGCGGCGCGCGCGGCGCCGAGAGCGGGCGCGCGCGCCCGTGGGGCCGCCGCGCCACCTACTGCCTGCTGCAGATGGCGCTGCTCTACCTCGCCCTGGTGTGCGCCACCTGGCTGTGCCCGCCGCTCTACCACCGGTGAGCAGCGGCAGGTGGACGACCGACGGGTTCCTTTGGGCTTCGGTGTTGCACATCCCTCTGTGTAGTGTGTAATGTTGGCGGAGTGTTCATTCAAATGGACGCTGTTCTGTTCAAATATTTCTAGAATTAATTATAATGTAAAGATTGGGTAATTGTCAATCCTTAATGTAAGGCATCTTCCAAATTGTATTTCATAGCTGTGGAAACACATCGATGAGAATAAAGCCCGAGATGGTCAAATTCAAACATCTAGAGCGTAATAAGAATGTAGTGATGACACGGTGGTAATTCAACTACAAAAGGCATTATATATTGCCGTCATTCTATATGATTGAAACGAAACACTGTTATGATATACAAATCTGGAAGATTGTTCTGACCCACTCGAGGAAGACATTTCTCTGACCCTGCCCTTTTGTGCGCCCTGCAGCATATCGGAGACGGGCCAAGCGGTGGTGGTCACCCTGGTGGACTCCGCGTCCATCGAGCTGCAGAACCGCGCGTCGCCAACGCTGGCGCGCGACGACGGCGCCGTCAACAGCA